ATCTGAAAGATTTGAGTGATAATTAATTTAAAAGGTGATTTTAGTTGAAGTGGTGCAGCTGTGTCTTGTAGACAAGGCCTCAGCCCATACTTAAGCAACTAAATAAGTTGCCTTTTTTCCAGAAGTGCCAACCTCACATCTCTCACTTGGAGCTGTAGTTCTATTATCGGTCATAGGTCTTTCAGAATTGCTGTTTTCTAGGCCTTCCTACTTAAACTGCTCCTTTATGCTGAACATGCTAAATTTGGGGCCTCATACTCATCTTTACTGTGACAACTCAAACACAAAATTGATAAACAAATAGCCCATCCTTTATTTTAGGGATAGCTCAGTGGTTTGAGCATTGGCCTGTTAAACCCAGGGTTGTGAGTTCAATCCTTGAGAGGGCCACTTAGGGATCTGGGGCAAAACCAGTACTTGGTCCTACTAGTGAAGGCAGGGGGCTGGACTCAATGACCTTTCAAGGTCCCTTCCAGTTCTAGGAGATAGGATATCTCCATTAATATATTTTATTTATTTTTATTTAACACCTCCTCCCAAATATATTAAATTTCCACAAGTCAGAGCTGAAATGCTTTGACCTAACTATACCCTTCCACCAGAATTTGCACTTTGAAGTTAACAGGACTTGAGTGTAGACAAGCCTTTAGGAACACTAGTTGCACCAGTTTAGTTAAAGTGGTACAGAGCCCCTAGTGTGGATGCAGTTATATCAGTATAAAGGTGGCTTTTACTGGCATAGCTTATTCCCATATAAGGAAGAGGAAAAAGCCATATTGGCAGGAGGCACCTTGAGCACAGTATCCACAGTAGGAGTTGTACCAGTATAACTACTCTGGTAGAAGCTGATCACAGAATATCAGGGTTGGAAGGGACCTGAGGAGGTCATCTAGTCCAACCCCCTACTCAAAGTAGGACCAATCCCCAGACAGATTTTTGCCCCAGATCCCTAAATGGTCCCCTGCAGGACTGAACTCACAACCTGGGGTTTAGCAAACCAATGCTCAAACCACTGAGCTATCCCTCCCTTCCCAGATCACACCCCTACCCAAATGAGTTACTGTTATAAAAGCTATGTACACTAGGCCTAAGTCACTTAGATGCTCTGGTGCCAAATGTGGGCTAGGAACTGAAGTTTAGGTTTCTATTTTTGTAAAATTGGCCTGTGTTCATAAACAAATTTACAGTAACTTTGTTAATCCTCTGGAAGTCTAAATAACCTTTTATTAACATCTGAGGTGACTTTATTGTGAGGTGACAAAGCTTTTATGCTACTATGAGATGTTTTTAACAAAAATAAAATTTTAGCTTGGTGCTGCAGACACTTGTGCACATGCTTAAGTTAAGCATGAGTAGTCCCACTGAAATCAGTAAGACTGCTATGTAAATAAAGTTAAATGCCTGAGTAAGGGCTTGTCTTCACAAACAGCGGTACAGCCCCAGCGCTTTGGAGAAGATTCGCCTACACCGATGGGAAAGCTTCTCCTGTCGGTGTAGTTCATTCACCTCTGCGAGAGGTGGTAGCTATGTGACTAGGAGAAGCTCTCCCACCAACATTGCGCTGTCTACATGGTGGGGGGTTAGGTCAGTGGATTTTTCACACTACTGAGCGACGTAGTTATACCGATGTAGGTATGCAGTGTAGACCAGGCCTCAGTATTTGCAGGATTAGGCCTTAATTTTCAGGGTTTTATTTTGTTTTGTTTTTTTGCTTATAACAGTTTTATAAAATTCCAATAAGACACTCTACCAGAAGCAGCATTTTGAGAACAGCATTTTTAATTTAGTTCATTCTATATTTTAATCAAAGTTTCAATTGTGTGAATTTTCAAATTAGTTTTTACAAAGAAAGCCTAAGCCTGAGGTTTTTTTTTTTAATCCAAGTGGTTTAAATAATAAATGTAAATCGGTTATTTAAATTGCCCCATCCTGGTGTGCTTTATTAACATGAAGCAGCATGCCACTCCTGTGAGGTAGGTTAGTATTCTCCCCCTTTTACAGCTGAGGTGACTGAAGTATAGAGAGAATGAAGCCATTTGCCCACGTTCTCACCGGTAGTCGGTGGTAAGTCTGGACTGGTATCCAGGCCTGACTCTCAGCACTGTGCCTTAGTCATAAGATCATTATTTTGGCTTCATTATGAGATTTTTTTGATTCTTTAAAGGAAAAAGTGACTGCAGTACTTATATCAAACAAACTGTGGTCCTGTACAGCAGTGGTTCAACCACGGGCAGGGCCGGTGCTACCATTAAGGCAAACTAGGTGGTTGCCTAGGGCGCCAAGATTTGGGGGAGCCAAAAAGCGGTGCCCCCAATTTTTCTTTACAGCGTTCCTACGCCCCCTCCCGGAGCGCGCGGTCGCCGCTCTACTTCTCCTGCCTCCCAGGCTTGCAGCGCTAATCAGCTGTTTGGCGCTGCAAGCCTGGGAGGGGAGGAGAATTAGAGCAGGGGCTGCGTGCTCGGGGAGGAGGTGAGCTGGGGTGGGGAGCTGCCCCATGGCTGGGGGGGGGTCGCAAGGTGGAAGTTTCGCCTAGGGCGCAAAACTTTCGCCTAGGGCGCGAAACTTCCTTACACCGGCCCTGACCACGGGTCTGGGGCCCCCACCGCGAGCAGGTTTCTGGGAGTCCATCAAGCAGGGCCAGCATCCAACTCACTGGGGCCCAGGACAGAAAGCCGAAGCCTCACTGCATGGGGCTGAAGCCCAAGGCCCTGAGCCTCACCACCTGGGGCTGAAGCTGATGCCTGAGTAACTTAGCTGCATGGGGCTCCCTGTGGCATGGGGCCCTCAGCAATTGGCTTATTTGTTACCCCCTAACACTGGCCCTGGCTTTTATATGCAAAAAATTGGTTGTTGTGACACAGGTGGGCCGTGGAGGTTTTATAGCATGCGGGGGCGGGGGGGCTCAGAAAGAAAAAGGTTGAGAACCCCTGCTGTACAGTGCTTCCTTCTTGATACTTGGCACTTACATTGAATAGGTAAAAAGAACAGGAGACTTGTGGCACCTTAGAGACTAACACATTTATTTGAGCATAAGCTTTCGTGGGCTACAGCCCACTTCTTCGGATGCATCCCACAATGCATGTAGCCCACGAAAGCTTATGCTCAAATAAATGTGTTAGTCTCTAAGGTGCCACAAGTACTCCTGTTCTTTTTGCGGATACAGACTAATGCGGTTGCTCCTCTGAAACCAACCATTGAATAGGTAAATAGCTATGTGTATAGAAACATCAGCTAATCGTAACAGCCCTGTGAGATGGGTTAAATCAGTATTCTCTTCATTTTACAGAGACAAGCTAACCACCTGTCAAGCTAGTGGCAGAGCTGGAGTTAGGACTCAGGGGCACCCTGCTCCCACCCAGGCTCTCAGTCCACTGATGCAGGGGTTCTCAAGCAGGGGTACGCATACCCGGGGGGTACACAGAGGTCTTGCCGGGGGGACATCAACTCATCTGGATATTTGCCTAGATTTACAACAGGCTACATAAAAAGCACTAGCGAAGTCAGTACACGCTAAAATTCATCCAGACAATGACTTGTTTACACTGCTCTATATACTAGACACTGAAATGTAAGTAAAATATTTATATTCGAATTGATTTGGGTAAAAATGAGAGAGTCAGTAATTGTGCGCTGTGACACTTCTGTATTTTTATGTCGGATTTTGTAAGCAAGTCGTTTTTTAAGTGAGGTGAAACTTGGCGTACGTAAGACAAATCACACTCCTGAAAGGGGGACAATTGTCTGGAAAGGATAAGAGCCACTGCACTAAAGCATGTCGTGTTTCTGCTATCCACGTAGTGCATTAAATATTGCTAAAGCAGAGACTCAGCTGCCACATTTGCCTACGATCGATACTTGGCAGTAGCTCACCAGCACAGTCTTGGTTATTAAAACTTGTGTTTGACAGGACACTGGGGTTAGTGTCTCTACTGCTTTTGAGAGGTGTTTAATTTCTACCAGAGGTGAGCAAAAGAAACTTAGTATTAGTAAATCTCTTTTGAACTGCTAATGTTCAGGCTTCTGTTCCGCGGTAGAACTGGAGCTGTGTATGTCCTACTCCGTAGGGTCTGAAATAAAAACAAGGATAGCCACCTCCTCCCTATTTCGTTAAAGGTTTATTGGTCCACTGTGACTTCATTTTCTGCTTCACCCATTCTGTGTATATAATAATCTACACTCAAGGCAGAAACAATTTATGTAAGATACCGTTTTGTCAATTTCTAAACATCTCCCACGTTGGGAGGCACTGTTGAGTCCATTAGATTGTAAAGGTTCCTTTGGGTTGCAAAATAATGCTATGACAGCCTGTTTATAGCTGGCAAAAATACAAAAAAATTGCCATGTCCATCTATAGTATACTGGGACCAACCTAATGGCTGTGTTTTCCTAGACTCGACAGGGGAGGAAACAATAATTGTGGATGAAATGTGGTGGGGAGGGATTGTGTTAGTCTTTAACTTATAAATGTAACTTGTTTGGTGCTAATATTTACCATCACCACCACCAGCCACGCTGAGGCTGTCTGTACACTGGTGTTTTTGAAATCTCTGACCATTGTGCTATGGCTGGAGCAGCTCCACTTGGGGTGGGGTGGGGTGGGGTGGGGGTGGGGGAATGGTGGAAGCACTAGTATAGACTAGCTGCTGGCATTTTGCCACTGCCCAGTGGTAAACGTGCCACCGGCTGGTCTATGCTAGTACGCCTGCCATTAGAGCTGCACTTGTAGTAATTTGGGGGGGATTTTAAGAGAAGTACCAGTATGCGCAAGGCCATAATGGAAAATAGTGGAAAATGTTGGTTTTCATTGCTAATGAGGAAAAGTATCAAGCCCTCAGGGAAGCTGATGCTAGAATAGTGATTTTTAGCAGGAGCTTATCTGGGGACTGAAACTGCATGTGTGGCTAAAAACATTTGCATTGCTTAAAATCGTCCAGAAATTAGATTAGATTAGCCAGGTCCAAATGTAAAAGGAGGTCTCTTTTATGTTTATTCTCTCCTAGCCCCGAATACACATGCCCAAAGATGGATTCCAACTTACATCTTCTGGATACCAAGCATGGCTAAAGCAGGTTGGACTGTATTCCTGTTTCTCATCTCTTGTGAGGGATTGTGCCAGACACTTGTGCTTGTCTCATTAGTAAAGTACATGTAAAGGTCCTATTAAGTTACAGTGCTGTGTAAGCGAATACCTTGCATAGTCATATATTTGTGTTTGTTATATGTGTATGTTCTGTGTGCATCACCTTTTCTTCCTAAATCTTAGGAATTTACACTTCTTATGAAGGAAAGTTCAAAACAGAATTGCCATAAGGGGGAATGGATTGGAGTCTGAAAAGAAATCTGCAGCAACAGCTCAAATTACAGAATTAAAATGAGTCTTCACAAGTAAGGCTGTACGGTGGTGTTAATAATGGGAAGGCCAGTGGGTTAATACACATGAGACTCGCATCTAGAGCCTAATTCAGATTTGATTGGGTGAAACAAGTGTGGACATTTGCTCACATCACATAACAATCCTGTAGTTTGACACAAGCTGACACTATTGGGAGTCCCTGCTCAGAAGTGGCCTAATGCTATATTACTGGAGCTATTATTAAAGGCAAAGCTTTTGATGTCTCGGCAGCTGGGCTCTTGCAGGTGCTGTCAGCCTCTCACTTCGATGAGTGTAAAATTCCCTTCAAAAGAATCTTCTTATTTTAAAATTGTGTGTGTAAAGCTAATCCTTGCCCATGTATCTTCATGGGAGATTCCAGTGTCCTTGAGAAGATGGAGTTAAAGTTGCTGTTTTTGTAGGAAGCCAGAATGATTGCGTTGTTATGGCAACGAAAACTGGAAAAATGAAAACAGCACAGATAAGCTGCATCCTGTTGTCGTGGCAACTAGAGTTGTGAAAATGATTAAGGGTGGTGTTGAAAGGATCTATGGTACTGTGAGCCCAATAGAAACAAACAGACAAAGAGACAAGTCACTTGTGGTGGATGGGAGAAAATAAAAAACAGAATAAACTTAATCTCACAAGATCAATTTTAGAACAGATTTGAGTGGGGTTATTGATGGTCTTGGGTCTTTCCAGTCGTGTCTCACTATCTTATGAGTATTAACTGAGCACCTGATCCTTCAAGGTATATCGTACTCTTAACTTCTGTTGATTTCAGTGGAGTTAAGATTGCTTGAATGCTCAAGAGGCAATGGAGATCGGGTCCTATTAATCCAAAGCAGTGGTCTTTAACATATCAAATGCACCTTTGTAAATTTCTGATATTCCAAAAGGGTTCTCTGGGGCTTGGACCCTGGCTGTCTGAGAAACTCTCTCTTTTTCCATAGTCCTTTACAGTACCAAAAGTCAGCTAGGACACTGACGCTAATGTTTTCTTAATTTAAACATAACTGGGCAGGAGGCAGGTTATTTCAGTAGAGGGACCTCAACTTTGCAGTTAATGTCTGTCTCACAGCCCAGGTTGGTTGTCCTACAGGGCACAACATCCTTTTTGGTCCTAGGTGGTGGCCTGGGAGGGTGCAGTAGGGAAAAGATTATGTAGGTTGTGTCTGAGGTAGATTTTCATAAGTTTTTACTAAGTGCTCAGGTACATATGGAAGTGTGCATTTTATACACGCAAAATATAAATAAATAAAAAATGACCATGTTCAGAAGTGAGCCTTTTATATGGAGACTTTCATAGTGGAGAAAATTTAAAAAAAAAATTTCAAAAAATCAATGTATGTGGCTGGTATCTTTCTGATTTCAGTGCGTTGCTGTTGAGTATTAATAAACATCTTCCTCCTTGAAGCTTCTCCTTCTGCTTGATCCTTCAGTGAGGTTACAGACCTATGCTTGTGACCCCTCCCCCCCCCCCATATGATGGAAATAGCTGTCACAAATTCAGTGCTATGATTTCACTGTAGGAATTACAGGAGTAAAGTGGCTCCTCTGGGGAATGGTGGGGGGGCGGGGGAGGGAGAGGAGCCTTTTTTCCCAAGCACATAGTTTGGGTAAGTAGCAGAGATGGTACGAGATTGAAGTGAAATGGATTTAGTTTTAGGTTACTTGTTAGTGTTTCCCTTGTTATAATGGGTTTTAAAAATAGGATTTGAGTCAAAAAGCCACTTTAAAAATATGCACAAACCTAAATATTTATTCAAATCGAATGGAGCTATGGTTATGCATCAAGTTTATTCCTCTAAGTGTGCTTTTAACAGGATTCCGCGGTAATGGTTCGTTTCCTCAGTGTAGCCAGATATTGATCTGCTGCCTTGCTTATACAGAGTGTGAGAAGTATTCCAGTAACACAATGTATTAATGGGGGCTAAAAGCAGTTTATATTACAAATGAGATGGAGGAAGATGGAGTTCTGCAAGACTGGACACATACTATAAATATCCATAAAGCTGACAATTTTATCTAAAAACCGTGCTGGCTACACTTGCATATTTTCAGCCTACTTGAAGTGGAGTTACTAGTTGATCACTACCTGAGCATGGGTCGCCCACACTAATGCCATTACCCTCTGCCCTTTAATAGCAAGTTTTTATATTTAATGTTGCTGTACTGTAGCAGACAGCTGTGTTATATACATCTGTGGCCTAGAGGAAATACAATACAGGTGACCAGAAATACATGTTGATTTAAAGAACAGACTTTTAAGTAATCTGTAAAGCTCTATTTTCTATCTGGGTTCCTATAAGTTCATCCTTTGGTAAAAGACAAACACCTGCAGCTCTTTTGTTCAGCCCTGTTCTTGATTTAATCCTCTTTCTTCAAATGGCAGCATTGTATTTTCCAACGGCGTGGAACATCCCATCCCCTTAAAGCTGAGTCTTTTGAAAACTAGCTAAAATTGGCTTCCAGAGGGAAAGGTTTTTTAGGTTTCATGTGTACATAAATATGATCAATAGAAATATTTTGTTCCCATTCCTGTTTATATAGAGATCCTATATGTTTTCAATTGAATTGTGAAGTCAGATAAATTAAAGCTGTTAGCTGAAATGTCTTTGATTACATTAACAAGAAAACTAAATATCGTTTAGGTCACAGCAAGGTAATTCAGAGTTAAAACTGACCCTTGCCTTCATGTACCATTGTGCCTCAGTATTGTATCACATAAAGAATTTAATATAATGAGCTCATCTGACCCTCCCTACCTCCCACAGTACCTTGGAGTAGAATTTTTAGAGCCAAGTTATAAACCTGTACAAATGTTTTATACTGGAAACTCTGATGCTTACCTTAGCTACATTGGTGCCAGCAAAGGCCACTATAATCAGATAAGGTGTTTGAGATATGAATCAGCTATACGTCAGTCAAGTCAGCTGGAAAAATGGGTATAAAAACCAGGACCTTAGTGAAATCTGGATCCGTCCTTTTAAGCCGAGTTTTCCTAGCAGAAATGTCTAGAGAGATTGTTTCTGTCCCTATTTTGTAATACAACTGTACCCCGATATAACGCGACCCAATATAACACAAATTCGGATACAACACAGTAAAACAGTGCTCCGGGGAGGAAGGTGCGGGGGGTGCGCTCCGGTGGATCAAAGCAAGATCAATATAACGTGGCAAGATTTTTTTGGCTCCCGACGACAGCGTTATATCGGGGTAGAGGTGTATTGTCACTGACAAACAGAATATATCTTTCGGAAGGTAAGGAAGGTATTTCGAATGAATACCTAGAGACTTTAGATTATTTGAATTTAAAAATGCATACCCTGATTTCTTGGGGGAGGAAAGTTTAAAATAAGCAGCTCATTAATATGTGGCACTCTTACAGAACTTTGAAAATGTACAGTGCTGTGCACATATTTAAGTAGTCCTCAAAACACTCCTGTGTGGTAGTTGCATAACATAACAATTTCTCAGCATATACTCAGTGTGCCCAAGTGATTGTATAGAATTATACAAATTGGAGATAGAAAAGACAAATCATCACTTCATCTCCCTATCAGAGTAGGTTTGTTCCCAGTAGTACATATTTTGGGAGCTATAGAACTAGGGTAGATAAAAGTCCCAAGTGTGGGGTTCCCCTTACAGCCTCGATATGTCTTCACAGTCGTTTAGAATCCAATGTGGTTAGGCAGTTGATGTGGCCGGGCTTCTGCTGCTTATTTTAAATGTGATCTTTTCACTGTTATCTTATTCTCCTTCTTTGCCACTTGCATCTGTCTAGCTTAGGTGCTTATCTGACCCCCAGCACCATGGTATCTGAGCGCCTCACAATCCTTAATGCATTCATCCTCAATACACCCCGTGAAGTAGGGAAGCGCTGTTATCCCCATTTTGCAGAAGGGTGACTGAGGCACAGGGAGACCAAGTGACTGCTCAAGACCACCGAGGAAGTCTGACACAGAGCAGGGAATTGCACTTAGCTCTCCCGAATCCCAGGACGGCACCCTAACTGTTAGGTAATCCTTCCTTTCAATTCACTTACTGTCTCTCCTGTCATGTTTTACGATTTTAAGCTTCTTGAGGCAGGGACTGTTTTTTGTTTTTAAATTAAATGTGTGTATAGCACCTAATGTAACAGGTCCCTGAGTGAGGCCGATAGGTGCTACTGCAGTATAAATAGCAAAACGGACAATAGTTGCACAATACTTAATAATGAACGGCTGGTACTTTACACATTCATTTCCCTGTATAAATATTAATAAATTCCTGTTCAGTTACAGCAAACGAAGCGTTGAACCCAAGGTTAGTATCCTGTAGAGGGCATCAAGGCATGGAAGAGCGTGTCAAGGGCCTGGTCCCCACTTAGTCCGGACTTCGGACTAAGGTACGCAAATTCAGCTACGTTAATAACGTAGCTGAATTCGAAGTACCTTAGTCCGAACTTACCGCGGTCCAGACGCGGCGGGAAGTCTCCCCCCGTCGACGCCGCGTACTCCTCTCGGCGAGCTGGAGTACCGGCGCCGACTGTGAGCACTTCCGGGATCGATCCGGGATCGATTTATCGCGTCTTAACCAGACGCGATAAATCGATCCCAGAACATCGATGGCGTGCCGCCGGACCAGCCGGTAAGTGAAGACTAGGCCAAGGTGTTGGGGAGAAGTAGACAAATGGAGGCTGGTGGTGAGTCGGAGGTGGCGCAAGGAGGGGAGACAGTAAGATATGAGAGTGCAGAAATAGGCAAGTTGTGAAGGGTCAGCAGTTAAAAACTGGGACTTAGTCATAATTATGTGTTCACTTTTTGAAAAGTTTAATATTTTTAGCCTACTTAATACAGAACCTTGATCTAGGAACTTCAAATACCTCCATTCTTCAGACCTCAGTGAGAAATAGTTCATAACTCTGCTTTTCGTGAGTTGGAGCATAGAATCTTTTTATTCATGTAAAAGTCATTTTGAATGTCTAGGTGTAGTCTGAAAGTCTCTACTTCAGTACCTCGAAGGAAGGAACGGCATCTGCATTCGTAAGAGCCACAGATGCACTTCATGGTATTTATAAGCTCTGTGTGGAAACATGGAAACATCACTATCCACTGGCACAGATGGGAAAGCTTGTAAATTCCAGGAGCGGCACTTACAATTTAATTGTTGGAAATTGAGTAAGATTCCTTAAGTAAGGTGTAGTCCAGGGGTCGGCAACCTTTCAGAAGTGCTGTGCCGAGTCTTCATTTAGTCACTCTAATTTAAGGTTTCGCGTGCCAGTCATACATTTTAACATTTTTAGAAGGTCTCTTTCTATAAGTCTACAATATATAACTAAACTATAGTTGTCTGTAAAGTAAATAAGGTTTTTAAAATGTTTAAGAAGCTTCATTTAAAATTAAATTAAAATGCAGAGCATACTGTCGACAAAACAGTAGAAGTGACTGCAGTGCTCCTCCCGCCAATTTAACTCTCCTGCTACGCAGACATAATAAAACAATCTCGATGACGGCATTGAGCATTTTGTGACAAAGTTAGAGCAACACAGTGTCAGTGTAGACACTGCATTTTCTTATGTCGCCCTAAGTCATCTCCAGGAAGTGTCCCACAATGCCCCTCATGACTGCTCTGGTAAGCAGTTTCTACTCCGCTGCCCTGCACCCAGGTAGACAGGCATGTGCCCCTCCCCCTTTAAAGCTCTGTGAATTTTTGAAATTCCGCTTCCTGTTTGCTCAGCGTGGACAGCTCCCATTGCATCTTCCCAGCTGACCATGTCAGCTTTCTGCAGCAAAGTGGCACTTGTGTGGAGTACACCAGAGTTACTGAATCTGTTGGGTCTGTGGAAAGAGGAGGCTGTGCAGTTGCAGCTCTTATCCAGCCATAGGAACTTTGACCCCTAAGAGCAGATTGCTCATGGCATGGATGAGAAGGGACATGAAAGGGGCATGCAGCAGAGCCATGCTCAGATCAAGATGCTGAGGCCAGCGTACCAGAAGGGAAGGGAGGCCAACCATCGCTCAGTGTGGTGCCAAAAACATGCTTCTACAAGGAGTTGCATGCCATCCTCCGCAGTGACCCCACCTCCACCGTCGAGCTCCATGGATACTTCAGGGGGATGGGAGGCAGCGGCCAGCGGAGTCAAACCCGAGGATGACGTGATGGACGAGGAGGTCGAATTCAAGGAGAATGTGGGACAGGCTCCTCTGGTGGCGTGATGAACCAGGACCTTTTTTTTTTTACTCCGGAGGGCCAGTCCCAGCAGTCCGGTTCTGGTGTGCCTGAAGCAGGAGTGGGGAGCTCCGGTAAGTACTCATTTTTCTTTCATAGTGCATGGTTACATGAGGAAGAGATGTCCTTTATTTATTTACATGGTGCATGTGGGAGAAGGGATGGAGATTAACCACACTAGGTGCTGTTTACATCTGCTTCGCATTCCCCTATGCAGCTACACAGTGGGGGCCCCACAGAAAAGTTTGTTGATGCACACCGAGATCTCTTGGGAACCCGCCATAGAGATCTCTAGGGAACTTTCTTGCAGGTACTCTGCAGTCCCTCTGCTGAAGGTTCCTTGGTAGAGCTCCTTTGTTTCTTTTATCATTGTAGGAAACTTTGCCGCGCCAAATGGCAGTTATTTCTGGAGGAACCAAAGCAGCATAAAGGCGAGCAGACCCGGTCTGAAGCTGCGCTCATGCAGAAGATGAAGCTTTGCATGCTTGGTTACCTTCAGTAGTGTGATTTCAGCTTCGATTGACCCCGCCTGTGGAAAACGGTGCCAGTATTGAGAATAGTGGCCTTAGGCACTTGTACTGATCCTCTTCTGAAACCACCCAGACCCTTTGTCCCATCTTGCACCACCCCCTCTTTGGGCTGATCTCACCACATTTAGTGCTCTGGCTGTGCTGTGTCTTTGAGGAAAAAGGTGTATGTCACTTTTATGATTCAAGATGGTGACAGTACTGACACTGTGTATTGTTTCTTCTACTTCTGCAGATGTGCTCTTGAGGGGCATCTCCTACACGTTGGCGGAGCGCCTCCATCTGATAAGGAGGCAAACGAGGAGTAAGGAAGACGTGTTTCACAAAATGCTGCAATCATCAGATCTGGCTGATCGCGAGCACAGAGCATGGAGAGAGACAATAAACAAGAAACTAGAAGTGGGTAGCCAGGAGAGGAGACAGAGTCAAGAGTGGATAATAAAACTCATGGAGGACCAAACAGATGCTGAGGTCCCTGATTGCACTGCAGGTGGAACACGTGTGCTCGACTTGCCCTGTAGCCCATACAGAACGTCCTTCCTTGCCCTTCCCAAACTCCCCACATACATTCCCAGTACGTCGCAGTACCCATTGCGCTCCACCCCAGGGATGTTTTCCATAATGACATATTGACTTTCATGCAGCTATGAGATCCTCACTTCAGAGAGTGTTACTCACTGCCATGTCCCTTTTGAGAAATGTTAATCTGTGTATTGCTGTTTAATAAAAATTTAGTCTTACAAAGACAGTGATTCTTTATTTGTGACCTACACAGGGTGGTTACAACAGAAATTCATACACAGGGGCAATCGGCCCATTTGCAGACTACAATTAACACTCAGGCAGGAATCATTACAGAGGTCATTCAAGGTGGCAAGTAAACAATGCCTGGTTCAATGCGTTACAGAAAGACACGTTACTGGGGCTCATTGTCAAAATGCTGCCTCAAAGCCTCCCTCATTTGAATAGCGCCTCCCTCCCTCTCTTCTTCACCCCCCGCTTCATTGAACCCCTCATATAGCCCTGGTGTCTGGCTTCCAAATCAGCTGCCAGGCAGTCCACCTCAATGCTTCATCCCTGGGGAAACTTTTCTCCGTTGGCTTCACAAATGTTGTTCAGAGCACAGCAGACTGCTATGACCATGGGAATATTTTTCTCATTGAGGTCTAACCTGTCAAAAAGGCAGTGCCAGTGACCCTTTAATCTGCCAAACACACATTCTGCAGTCATTCTTCACCTGCCAGGCCTGTTGTTGAAGCACTCCTTGCTGCTGTTAAGGTTTCCGGTGTAAGGCTTCATGAGCGACGGAACTAAGGGGTAGGCTGGGTCTCCCAGGATCACTATGGGCATTTCCACATTCCCTGTTGGAATCTCCTGGCCTGGAAAGAGAGTCCCTACATGTAGCTTTCTATACAGGCCAGTGTTCCTGAAGATGTGTGCGCCATGCACCTTCCCTGACCATCCTGCATTGATGTCAGTGAAACGACCCTGGTGATTCACCAGCATCTGCAATACCATAGAGAAGTATCCCTTTCTGTTGATGTACTCTGTCGCAAGATGGTCTGGAGCCAACATTGGGAAATGTGTGCTGTCTATCGCAGTTAGGGAATCCCATTGCCGCATAGCCATCCATTATTTCCCACACGTTGCCCAGAGTCACAGTCATTCATAGCAAAAGATGATTTATGGCCCCGCATACTTGCATCACAGCTGCCCCGTGGTGTAATTACAGTGGTTTATGATCGTTGACGTAACTGAAGACGACTTAACTTTGTAGTGTAGACATGGCCTTAGAGAATATTCAGTATAATACAGGAGAAGGGAGAGTTAAGAGCAACTACAGAAATGAATAGGAGATGGGGGGAAATCACTTTGATGGATTGAGGTTCATAGGTATAGCAAGGCATGTAAAATTTACCAAACACCTACTAGTCAGAGGACTAAACCTACTAGCTATAAGTTGATATTAAAGATGAATGGGGGAAACCCACCATTGACATCAATGATGTCAGGCTGTGGGTTTGTCACAGAGGTCCTGGATTCTGTGACTTCTGCAGTGGCTGGTGTGGCTGGCTCAGAGACAGCTAAGGCAGCCCCTGTGCCAGGCGCACCAACCACTGCTGGGGCAGTCTCGGGCCCCTGCGCTGCCTCCCTGATCAGCTCAGAGTGCTAGCTTCGCAGCTTCCATTGTACCTGCGCAACTAGGGAGTGGTGTGTGACTGCTCTTGCAGCTTTCCTTTGCTTTCCTGTTAGAAAGTCATTTTTCTGTGGGGAAGCAAAGAAATCTGCGGGGGACATGAATTCTTTGAACGCGCAGTGGCACAGAATTCCCCCAGGAGTAAAGAGCAGAGAAGTAGTACTATATACCGGCCAGTGGGTTGGAGTACCTGTACTCACGTGCACCCCCCTTCCCTGGACCTGTTCAGACACCATGTTTATTTGGCTGGTAGCCTCCAGTTACGTATCTCTAACCAGCATGGTTCATAGCTCCAGTGAGTGGGCCTCTCTCATGAAGTGCAGCAGTCAGTCCAGGACCTCCCCTTCAATGTACATCCTTGTTCTCTGAACAAACAGACTCCAAGCTTCATGGCCTCAAAGACTTGAGCACCATGCTTCGCTCTCTGGGCCTTTACATGCCCCCAGCCTCCGGGAAGCACTTTAGGCCCCAGCAGCCTCCCAGATTCCCAGTGCCTCCCAGGCAGGAGCCCTACAAAAGAAAGGAAAAGGGCTGTACATGTCAGCCCCAAACTTCTGCCTCAGCTTCCCAGTTGGGCTCACATTGATGCCCCTTTGGGGCCAGGCAGGCCTTTTGAAGGTATACTGGAGGATGACATACCAGTCTTGATTCTGGATCCATCCGTCCTTTTGTTTTTGGACCACCCGTCACTCTTCCACCCACCATGGTCTTACATAACATTGGACTGTTGGGTGCTCAGCACTATAATAGTTGGCTACACCCTCTAGTTTTCATCCACCCCGCCATCCCTATGCAGTTCCTTTTCAGGGACCCTTCTCACAAGCAGCTTCTTATCCAGGAAGTGCAAGCCCTCCTAGGTGTGGTGGCTGTAGAGGAGGACCTATTCGCTGCCAGACAGAACAGGAAATGCCATCAGTTCTGTTTGCTGCATGGGCTCTCTCTTCAATGCCTTCTGGCTCTGATGGGCAGACCGCCCACTGTATGCCTTCCCACCAATCCCCTTGGTTCACAGGATCTCCTAAAGATCAAGCAGAGCAAGGCGAGAGTTATATGATAGCTCCGGCGTGGCCATGCCAGCATTGTTTGGTACGCTTCTAGACCCCTCAGTGGCCACTCCACTCATGCTCCCATCCTGTCCAGACTTGGTTTCACAAGACCATGGGCATTGGCCTTTGGCTTCACCTGTACTTCATCTTCCTGCACCTGATGGCATGGTTGCTGCGTGGCTGAACCCTGAAGACCAGGCCTGTTCATAACAGGTTTGAGAAGTCTCACTAGGTAGCAGAAACCCTTCCACCAGGGCCACTTACTTGGCTAAATGGAAATGTTTCACTTGTTGGGCCTTCGAGCGGAATCTTTCTCTATCCCGGTCTTCTCTGCAGACTATCTGGGACTATCTGCTCCATCTAAAACATTAAGGTCTAACTCTCTCATCTATTAAGGATCACTTGGCAGCCATCTCGGCCTTCCACCCTCCAGTGAAGGGCCAAATCGTTATCCCTCGAGATGATACTCAGGTTTCTCAAGGGCCTGGAAAGACACTCTACTCTTAGATTTGTGACCCGATTCCCCTGTGGGATTTAAACCTGATCCTGTCGAAGCTCACTGGGCCTCCATTCAAGCCAGACGTTAGCATCTTGTTTCATGCTGCTTCTCTCTCAGAAGATTGCCTTCCTGGTGGCGATCGCCTCAGCCAGAGGGGTCTCTGAGATCAAAGCCCTGATGTCAGAACCCCATTATACAGTGTCTTCAAGGACTAGGTCCAGCTGTGCCCCCATCCGGCCTTCTTTCCAAAGGTGGTGTCACAATTCCACAACAACCAAGATACTTTTCTTCCAGTCTTCTTTCCAAAACCTCACAAGACCACCAAGGAGCGTCAGCTCCATACATTAGATGTTAGGCGGGCCCTAGCCTTCTATATTGAGAGGACTAAGCCCTTCCCAAACCTGTGCAACTCCGTAGCAGCAGCAGAAAGGATAAGAGAACTGCCTGTTTCCCGGCCTGTTACATGCAGATGAAGGTTCCGCCTCCAGCCATTGTGACCGTTCATTCCACGAGAGCTCAGGCTTTCATAAGCAGCATTCCTCACGCAAGTACCAATCCAGAACATCTGCGGAGCCGCACCGTGGTTGTTGGTCCATATCTTCACGTCCCACTACCCCGTCATCCAGCAGGTCTGTGATGATGCCAGTTTCGGAAGAGTGGTGTTGCAATCAGCAGATCCAAAACCCTGAGCCCACCTCTGAGGGTACTGCTTGTGAGTCATCTAGCACTGTTGTCTTTTGAGATGTGTTGCTCATGTCCATTCCATGACCTTCCATCCTACCCCTCTGTCGGAGTTATCGGCAAGAAGGAGCTGAGATGATGTGGAGCCAGCAGTGCCCCTTGTACTGGCACATACACACGCGGCTCCAGGGGGTGCTAGAGCCTGTCCTACGGATACCACTAAGGGAAAAATCTCCGACAACTGTGCACCCAGCGCGCGCATCTAGCATGGAATGGATGTGAGCAATACATCTCGAAGAACAGCCGTCACGACAGGGTTGAAACCTTGCTTTCTCCATAGTTCTGAGGCAGTGTCCTCAGCTGAGAGTTGTCCGCGTGAAAGCCGATTGATATCCTCCTAATCATTCCCTTTTGAGGAGGCTATTGTTCTCTTTTCACTTAAGAACGTTGATCTTAAAATAATAAAACAGCTCCTCAGAAAAGGCATCGGCTAATCAAGTCTGAATTATTTGATTTTTTTTGTTTGTTTTAAATAATTTCAGGGCACAGCATCCTGCAATAGCAAGCGAACATCAGCACTAACTGTGAATTTTCTGTGTTTTCCTGTTGGCTTAATTAAGACCTACAGTTATTTCTTACATTTTTCTTATTTCCAAACAAAAACAAACACAAAAATAAAATAAACCACTTTCACTAAAAGTTATAAAAGTATTAATTTGCTCTGGGCCCTTCTAGTCTCTCTGGTAAATTCATAATTAGGCAGGATTTTTTTTTTTTTAAAGTTGTATTCTGGTCTCTCGGGTATATATAACTGTTCCACAACTAGTAAATCTATATTCATATATTAGGGTTTTTAAAGGCATATTATTTACACAATTCACCGGAATGGCTCCTGTGGCAGTTGGGAGGCGCTCTCGTGTAATTATGTATTTAGAATGCCTGGTATCCACGGTTGCTGTGTGTGTGTGTGTGTGTGTGTGTGTGTGTGTATAATATATATTTATATATTTCAAAATTCAATGAAGAAGAATTTACTGTTCATTAAGTGTTTTGCAGATATTTAAAAAGCACTATGTTGGTTTTCTTTTTCCATAAATGATCAGTTGCTTACCAAATGCAGTTCATTTTTAACAGGACTATTTTTGGATTGTGACAGAGCAAAATATGCACTGGAAACTCCTTGTTTTTCTTTCTTCGAATGTTCAGATTTTTTTCTTTGATCCAAACGTGCAGGGATGTGTGTGTGCTGTTGTATGGGTATGGGAAAGGTTGAGGGGATGAAAACTGTTCTTGGGCTTGGAATTTGTACATCCAGGTTGAG